CTTTGAGATTTCATCTTATACCAGTCAGAATGGTCAAGATCAGTACAACAATGAAGGTAAAGGGGAACACTCACTCACGGATGGTGGGAATGCAAACTTGTGCAGTCACTATGGAAATCAGTGTGATCATTCCTCAAGAAGTCTGGAATCTATCTACCCCAAGATCCAATACATTTGAAAATGAGATAAAATACACAAATTCTTTGAAATATATAAATTAGTAAGTTCATTTAAGAGATGCTAAAGAAAACATCTCACATACTATAAAGAAATGAGATGTTTGGTTAAAAACTCAAGAAAATTCCAAACCCAATGACTGGAATGCCTCCAAACATTTAAGGAGGATCTAAAATCAATTCTTTACAAACTTCATAAGCTCTCCAGCTCATTCTATGAGGCCAATGTCACTGTGGCATCAACAACAAGTAATGAAATGAGGAAATGCAGGTCAATACTCATAGTGGAACACAGACATACTCAACAACTTACCAGCAAACTGAATTCCATAGCATATAAAATGTACAAATATAACAATGTGGAAATTATCATAAAATACAAGGACAAGCTAACATTTTAAAAATAATGGAAGCTTGAGAGTTAAGAATGCAAACTGCTTTTGGAGATGACTGGAGTTACTAGGTTACTATCAGAACCCCTTACAACTCCAGCTCCAGAAGGAATCTGATGACTCTGGACTTGGCCCCTACACTCCTGTACACAAAGCCACCACAGAGAGACAGAAAGACATAGACAAACCTTTGGCAGGATGTAATCCCAGCACCTGTGAGTTCAAGATCAGTCTGATCTACACCGAGAGTCCCAGGCCAGCCAGAACTATATAGTGAGATTACTGGGTTTATTTTAGACAGCATAATAATAAGTAATAAAAATAAAAACAATGAAGTTCACCATATCAGACTCAAAATGGAAAAAATGTGATAATCTCTCATATATAGCAAAACACGATAGCCACCTATTCAAAAACAAAAATACTACCCACTCAGCCACCTCAAAATGCTGGCACAGATAGAGTTAATTGTCTCAAGTTCCACCCTATTGGGGAGCTACTGTCAGTGGATGATTGCTGGGGAGGAGTGGCACTCCTTTCTGAGGGTGTGGCACTGGCAGGTTCCCATGCTCCAGTGCAAGCCCACCATTCAGATGGCACTAACTGGATTTGAAAGCTTATACATAAAAACAAAGAACACTAGATATGAAGTTGGGGGAGGTATGTGAGAGACACACAGGGAGCTGAGGGGAAAAGGGAGGGTAGTCATGATCATACTTCATTTTATACATGCATGGCATTCTCAAAAATAAAGAAAAAGTGCTGCAGAGATGGCTCAGCAGCTGGGAGCACTTGTTTTTACACAGGACTTGGGTTCAATTCCCCACATTCACATGGTGACTCAGTCATTTGTAACTATGCTTCCAGGGGAATCTGTCAGCCTCTTCTGACCTCCACACACACCAGTCATGGATATGGTTCACAAACATACATTCAGGGAAGACATACATACAAAATAAAGTAAATCTAAAAAGCAAAGTGAACAAAGGAGAGCAAACTAGAAATAAAAGAATTCTCTTAAACTGCACAAAGGGTTATTTTTATTTTATTTTTGTCAAACTGACACAAGTTTGGGTAATCTACCAAAAGGGAACCCAATCGAGAAAATTCCTCCATCAGATTGGCCTGCAGGCAAGTCTATGGGACACTGCTTATGACTGATGTGGGTGGTGCTCCTGGACAGGAGGTTCTGGGTTGTATAAGAAAACAAAGTGACTGTAAGGAGAGTTCATGGCCTTTGCTTTAGTTCCCACTTTCAGGTTCCTGCCTTGAGTACCTGCCCTGACTAACCTTCACAATGGACTATATAAACTGTAACAAACCCTCTCTGCCCCAAGTTGTATTCAGCCATGGTGTTTTATCACAGCAACAGAAAGCAAGCTGAACACAGTGTCTATAAAAATGCCTTAAAAACTCAAAGCAGTTTCTGTAAAATCAGGAATGAGATAGGGCTGTTCAGTCTCTCCACTGAAATTCAGTAGAGGGCTTCAAGTCTAGTTACAACAGTAAGACAAAACAAAGAAACAAAAGGGATACAAATAGGAAGGTAGGTGTCAAACAACCCCCTTACTTGTAGACAATATAACCCTATACACCACACAAGAAAACTCTCAGAACCGACAAAGGTTAGCAAGGCAAGACACAAAATCAGCATACACAATCAGTAGCTGTCCTGTATGCCAAGAAGATTCCTTAGACATTAAGAAAGAAATGGAAATACCTCATAATAGCTTTAAAAAGTCAAAATGTTAAACAAGCAAACAGACAACAATAAAACACATAGGAATATACCTACCTAAAAAGTGAAAATCTTTACAATCAAAATTTTAAGACAATGAAGAGAGTGATAAATGCTAGAAGATGGAAAGACTACTCATACTCAGGGATTACAGAATTAGTTTTCTGAAATAGCTATAGTACAAAAAGCAATTTATAATATCGTGCAATCTCCATCAACACTCCAGGCATTCTTTACAGAACTGGAATAAACAATCCCAAAATTCATATACCAGCACAAAAGACCCCGGATGGTTAAAGCAATCCTGAACAAATGAACAATGCTGGGTTTCAAATTATAGTATCCAACTATTATAGAATAAACAGTAAGGGCTTAAATACACAAATCAAAGGAACAGAATAGCTGACCCAGAAATAAAACCATGCAGCTACAGCCACAATATACATACATACATACATACATACATACATACATACATACATAAACAAAAATACCATAGAGTTCATTTTGTATTGACCAACTACTCCTGGTCATGGGGTCTACCTTGAAGTGTGGTTAATATACCCAGGAGACCCCACTAGAGAAAACTATTTTTTCCTTTGCAAGTGTATATCAACTGCAGATAGCTTCTTGGTTGAGTGTGGGTGTCTTTGTCCATTTTCCCCTCTCAGTGCTGGACCCCATCTGGCTTGAACCTGTGCAGGTCCCCTGTGTGCTGCCACAGTCTCTGTGATTACAACATTTTTGCCCAAGATGCTGAGAGCATATATTGCAGAAAAAAAAATGGTCATCTTCAACAATTGACGCCAGGAAAACAGTACATCCAAATGTCTGGAAGGAAACTAAATCCCAATCTTTCCCCTGTAAAAAAAATGGATTAACAACTGACCAAATACTGTAATATAAGGCTTGAAACTCTGAAATAAAGTTCAATTTTTATAATCATCTTAAAATTCTATTTTCCTCCATTGGGTAGAATTATGTAGGATTTTTCTGTTGTTGTTGTTTGGGTTTTTAAGTACAGGTGGTCACTCAGATTCTTTTCTGGCAAAGCCTCCCATGTTTTCTGGTCTGAGAAGGGCCCAAGTTATCCAAGTGCAGCTCCCTGCTCGGGTTTCCCTGAAGATCTAAACCAACATGAGAAAAAAGCAACGGTACACACAGAGACAAGGAGAGAAAGAACAGAGATCCACTGAGATTTCTCCCTGCCTCTGAGGTAACAAATGGCCAACTCCTTGATGAAATGACCAGTTCATTTATAAGGGAATAATACACACAAAACATCTAAAAACGAACCCCCCCCCATTAAAAAACAACAACAACAACTGAAAACAATGCCTTTAAACATTTGTGATTAGTTCTGGAAACATCAAAGAGTCAATAGCCCGGAAATAAAGTAAGGGTTGGGTATGATGGGGTTGGGGGCTGCTGCTGTTTGCCTTCTGGTTTTCAATCCAGCTGGCAGCCTGAAAGACTGTTCACTCTAAGACAGCTCACAGGCCAGTACGTTTGCCACTTAAACATTTTTCTCAACCTTAAGCTAAAAAATAAAATATGCAGGAAACCAGATCTATTTGTTGTTTGCTAAACTCACATACATAAGTAGATAATTATGCCCTGGAATTAGAAAGCAACCTCATCCTGGAATTCATAAGACAGTTCCTTTAGTGTAACATGTAACTGCTTCCACCGAGGCATCCCAAGAGTCCTAAAGAATATGCCAATCTCTTAACACAGTGCCATTCCTATGCCCAGAAAAGGACTTGGCATGACAGCACAATTCCAAGAGCATTCAGAACGTCTGTGGTTCTCAGTTGTGGACACTTTAGAACTTTCGGATTAAGTGGGTCTAGGGTGGTGGTGAAGCAGATATGAGAGTGTGAGGGTGTGTGTGTGTGTTGGATTTTTCAATTCCCCTGCCTCCACCTTCTGAGTTTGAGGCTTACAGGCCTTGATGGGAGGGAGTGTTGTTGTTTTATCTGACTGGCTCTAACTACAACCAGGAAATAATAAGCTTATTATTGGATCATTTTCCACATTCTATTCATTCATTATTCTCAACAATGTTCTTACACCTTAGCCAAAGAAATTATGACTATTCCAGTTTGCAGGATTCTTTGCTTTCCTGATCATCAGTACCTCTTCATACAATGTAAACAAGAGTGATCAGGAAAACTCACATGTGTAGTGGAGAGAGGAGTGACTGGAGAAATAGTTGAGAAAAAGAAATTCCAGTGAGCTACTCCTGGTGGCAAGAGAAGCAGATGATATGACACGGAGTCAAGAACCAAGGCTGCCAAGCTAGTGTGGACAGCAGGCATATTCCAGTCATCAGTGTAAGTGGCCTGAGTATAGACAATTAGCTACTTCTCTCTTGGTAAACATGCTTCCCAGAAAGATAAAGGGGCTTTTCAAAGGAGCAGAGATACATTTCAATACCTAGGCCTTTTCCAAACACTAGAGTCTTACATAGATATAATGTGTCAGTTACATCGTATCCTAGCAACATCTCTCACAAAAGGAAAGTATGCCATGCCAAGCAGGTATTCAGCCTGGTGTTTAAACATTGAGGAGTGAGCCTCACTCTGGAGAAACATGCACTAAGAAACTCCAGGAGGAAAGGATGTGTGTTATCAGCTCTCCTTCTACCCAAGAATGGAGGCACTTTTTGGTCCAAAGTTTCACTCAACGTACTTGTTTTTTACTCCTGACGCTTCAGTGTAACCATGACTCCACACGGCTGGGGCTCCAGATGCATCTCCTGCTGAAGGCTGGTCAATCTTGAAGCATCGAATATTACTAAGGAGAGAAAAGGCAGCAGGAATCATGAGGAACAGAGGAATGTGAACTGTCACCTTTACCTGAGAAATGAAAACTGCTAAGCACTCTCCTCTTACCGCCTCTGCTGCATCTACTGTAAATGAAATATTTATCAGTGTCAAGAACCTGCTCCTCAGGTGCTTTATGTTGACAATGAGAACAAGGGCACCGCTTGGCATGAGGATCAGTTTTCACGGTGACTATAAAGCGGCCGGCCATTAGAGACTGGCAGACTGTATGCTACACGTCTGCTCTTCCCTCAATCTTGGCATGAGTAAAGACTGGTGCAAGCTTGAGAACTTGACTTTGACCTCTAGCATCTATGTAAACAGTTGTAATCCCTGCACTGAGGAGGCAGAGATAGGATCCACAGTCAGGCAGCCTAGCCTAATGAGGAGCCCCAGACTCTTGTCTCAAGACATAAAGTAGATGGCTCTTGAGGAATGAGGTTGACCTCTGGCTTCCATGTACATCTGCACACACATCAACACGAACATATACATACTTAAATAAAACTGAAATTAAAAAGAAATAAAACTTGTATCAAGTTAAGTTTTAATTTTTACACCATCAACATTTGTATTTGAAAAGAAAAACTACCACAGTTAGGTAATGGTCAGACAATTCTGCAGTATTTATCCCCCAACCCAATTTCTGTCCTTATCATCCATTCAAATAGCCAACAAAATTACTGAGGACCTGACACTGCCTAGATATTCCAGTTTCTTCCTTAGGTGGATAGGCCATTTACATTAAGACTAACACCATACAACAGACCTGTAAAATCATATGACTAAGTTACTAGTTCTCTATGTTCTAAGGTGTGAGATTTAGTTCTCTCTCGGCTGTTAAGGGCTCAGTAGGACGTGGAATAGTGGACACGACATAAAAAGGAGTAAGTGTCCTGTTTCTAAAGCAGCCTACTATGCAGCACCTAGTGTCTCTGGGCAGAAGTCCCAACCACGGAAAGGAGCCCTAAGAATGAGTGCATATTACCATTGGGATCTCTTCACATTATTCAAATGAGAGAGACAGAAAACATATGCATCATTTCTTGACAACCAAAGCTTAACTCTTTTTGTCAAGACCCCAGGAATTTTAAATATTAGAATTCTCTTCCTAAGAACCAGTTAAAATTTAACTAGTGTTCACTTTGGTTGTAGAAATACATGATTGCAATTTCTCTGAAATTAACGTTTGATTAAAGAAAAAATTCTAAGGACTAGAGAGGTGACTCCATGGGTAAAGGGAAGAGGTCCTGGGTTTGAATCCCAGCACTCATATAAAAAGCCAGGCATGGTTGTGAGCACCTGTAACCCCTGTGCTGGGTTGGGGAGGGGATAGAGACAGGAGGATTGCTGGGACTGATGACAGGTTCAATGACAGTGTGTCTCAGAGAGAGGCAGAGCAGGTCACCTGAGTGCATGTCAGGTGTGCACTGTGCATGTTCAGGTGTGCACCCCCCAACACACACCCATCAGAGTGGCAGAGCAAGTCATCTGAGTTCATGTTCAGATGTGCACCCCCCATCCCCCCACACACATCAGGGAGTGGCAGAGCAGGTCATCCAACTGCTTATTCAGGTGTATGTACACCCCCCATGGAAGTATATCCTCAATTACTAGCTACTCACTTTCTCATTTGGAAAACATAGATGGTATTAATATAAAATTAATTATTAATTTCATAGTAGGCTGAACTTTTCTAACTTTTCAATCTTATCAACAAAAAGAGACAATTGTGGAATATTCCTTTACATTGTGTGAATAACTGTCACTATGATTGGCTTAATAAAGAAGCTGACTGGCCAATAGCTGAACAGAATAAGGTTAGGGGGAGAGCCAAACTGAGAATGCTGGGATAAAGAAGGGCAGAGTCAGGAGTCTCAAGCAGACACAGAGAGAAGCAAGATTGATGGGCTGTTCTAAGAAAAGGTACCAAGTCATGTGGCATAGCATAGGTAAGAAATATGGGTTAATTTAAATGTAAGAGTTAACTAGTAACAAGCCTGAGCTATTGGCCAAGCATTTATAATTAATATTAAGTCTCTGTGTGATTACTTGGGAGTGGCTTAAAGGCCAGAAACTTCTACCAACAGGCAATAAAAAGTGAACAGATGCTAGCACTAAATTTTCTCTCTATAAAATGCTGTCATGTTGCTGTCCCCATCTGTCACACACTTGTGCCACCTTTCTGATTCTAAGGACAGCTGATGGTCCATTTCCAAAGACACTGATAACCTTTATAGGCGAAAGAATTTTCACAGAAATAATTCCATTTTCTAATCATTACAGGAAAAACACTGCCTCCACCTTGTTCAATGAAGTACTCACCACTCCAGTCTAACTCGGTAACTCAACAGCTTCCTGAAAAGATGGCGGCATGGACTCTCCAACATCTTGCCATCTGGAATGGGGCTGAGCCCAAGAGCTCAGGCCTCAGAAGAGTTCCCATATGCCCTCACTCTAGCTCCTGCAGAACAAATCTGTCAACCACTAACCACAACAATGTGTGGAAATGCTCCAGTTATTAAGAAGACACAGTCTCTGTGATACTAACCAGAAGGTAACATTTTCAGTATTATGATTCACCCTTACTAATTATGTTTTAACTCTGAGAGCACAGCGCCTTCACTACAGGAGGTCAGTTACTCCAGTAACATATGCTCAATGCAGAGATTTAACAAATTTTATTTATGCAAATGTAACTGTGGGATCACTTATCTAACACACATCTACCTTTCTGGATATTTGCCATCTACCTATCATCTATGTACCATCTATCTATCTATCTATCTATCTATCTATCTATCTATCTATCATGCATCTATCACTTGTGGTGGTTCATCAAATTTTTCAAGTTATGTCATGAATATTTTCAAGTTACTTTATATTCATTCCAAATACAACTGGAAATGCCCTGATAACTATCTTATTTGAACTGAGGATCTATGAACAGTTGATGACTTCTGGAGGAATAGCATCAGTTTTTTCTGAGGGTGTGGTAGGCTGATCACATTCTAAAGGATGACCCCACACCTTGGAGAATATTAGTGAACGGGTCATTTAAATCCCACAAACTTTCAGGTATTGGGAGGTAAGAGAGTGTCTGGGAGGAACCAGGGAGAGAGGTTGGAAGTTGGAAGGAGAGAAGAAAAAAGAGAGAATAAAGAAAACCAAGTTTTAGTACTCAGATCCCTGACATGTGTAAGTGTTTTAAAGACTTACAGAATGGGTGAGCCACTTTTAAAGAAAGATGTACTAAGTAAGGCCAGGGGCTCACACGTCACCAATCTGACATGTATGAATATATGTTTTTCCTTGATATGCTAATAAGCTCAAACATCTTTTTGTGTATGTGTGTACTTCTTTTTTTAAATATTAATGCCCTTGGATCATTTTCTATTTGAATGAGAACTTTTTAAAAAAGGATTTATTTTATATTTAATTTGGTGTGCGTGTACATGCAGTATGTGCAGGTATCTGCTTAGGCTATAAGAGGTCATTTGATCCCCTGGAGCTGGAGTCCTCTACAAGAACATCTTGCGCTCCTGACCACTGAGCTATCTCTTCAGCACAAAATGGAAGTGTTTCTTAATGGCTTATTAGAGTAATTTCTGCTGACACTATCAATGCTTTACATTAGTTTTTCCACTATTTCTTCCCAATTGCCATGTCTTTAGATTTACTTTTAGTAGTTGTAGGAATTGATAAAACACATCTAACACATGCATGTGTGCATATGTGTGTGTATACTAGTCTACATATACTGATTTCTTTTATTGAGACTTTCTCAACTCTTTCTGACATAAAAAATAATTTATAGTTTACAAATACATTAAAATCATTATATTCTACATATTTAACTCTTTAATCTACCTGGAACTTATTTGGTACAACTTTTCTCTAAATAGCTAGTCCATGTAAGGAGAACTCTTGATACAATACTTTTTTTTTTTTTTTTTTTTTTTTTTTTTTTTTTTTTAGTTGTTTTCAAGACAGGGTTTCCCTGTGGCTTTGGAGGCTGTCCTGGAACTAGCTCTTGTAGACCAGGCTGGTTTCGAACTCACAGAGATCCACCTGCCTCTGCCTCCGAGTGCTGGGATTAAAGGCGTGCGCCACCACCACCACCTGGCTGATACAATACTTTTCTATCTCTTGGAAACAGGATCTCTCATTCTGTAGCTCAGGCAATCCTGTAAATCACTGTGTAGCCTCTGCTGGCCTCAAACTCATGGCAAATCATCTGCCTCAATCTCCTAAGTATTGGATTACAGGTGTGAGCCATCATGGCTAGCATTGATCAAATTATTTAAAATAAAGCTTTCATATTTTGAAGACTCATGAAGATGGTAATATATGTTGATATTTCATTGTACTTTTATCTCTCAAGTTTCTTAGGGATAATGCTAGCCATTCCTGTCAGCTTACAGGATATGAGGAAACTGAAGTCTAAAGACTGAGGAAAAGACAGGTCCCCATCCATGTCTTTCCTGGGATTCTTTGTTTAGGTGGTATTCTTCAGTTATACACACATTAATTTTTCTATTAAGTATTTAAAAGGCCAGCAAGTGAGCATTACTTAGACCAGATGGGTTCTGACTAGGAAGCTGACGCTAGTCTTTAAGCTTCAATTTGTGCTGCCCCAAAAGATTACTCACAGTCCAAATTCTTGTCTTTTCAGTTTTCTCCTAACATATGGTGGATGACTTCCAACAAAAACCTCCAGCAGTGTATAAGAATATATGGCAGAGATAATGACTACACTGGGCCACTGTTCAAGAATGCCATTTATGCAAGCAAGGGCTGAGAAATATAAAGGAGAAAGCAGAGACCACTCACATAATCCTACTCCTTAAAAGAGAATGCTCTTAAGATCTGTTACCTTCCCTTTGGGGTGTGTTTCAGGTGTGTGCAGGTACTCACATGAACAAAGCGCACACAGTTAATTTTCAAAACATGGGATGATATGTGTACAAATTTTTGGTAAGTTTTCTTTTTGTCTAATCTCCATGTGATTACTACTACAGCTCACTATCAGGGTGTTACTGGCTGTAAAGTATTTATGAAGCACACTTTAATTATATTAACTACATTTAGAGTTCTGTGATAAATCTTCCCACAGTGGAATCTTTTTTACTGATGCAACATTAAACTTCTACTGGTTATACTTAATCAACAACCACAATTAACTCTCCCCCAAAAGAAGAAAACTTTAGCAGGATCTAACTGAAACTATTCTGCATTTCTTTTTTTTTTTTTAAAGGATCCATATTTTAGTTTGTAACAACTTCCTTCACATCACCTACCTAATGACATTTGCATTAGACATCACGTCATGTTACCAGGAACCACTGGAACTTATGTCCCCATCTTGGATAATACCCTCCTTCTGCATTCTGTCCAGCTGTATCTACGGTACTAAGTCAAAAGGATCTTCCTGTTTCCACTGCTAGTGAACACTTGGGGGCAGTGAGTACAGTGCTTTGTAGATACTTACTTCAGCAGCTCCAGGCTTCTGTGATCCAGGGCAAGGCGAGGGTTTCCAGTCAAGTCCAGCTCTTGCAATTTCGGTGGCAGGTTTTCTGGTAACGAGATTTCGCTTAACTCGTTACAGCTCAGATCTACACACTGATGAAACAATGGAAACAAGAAAGATGATCTGGAGAGGCTGTAGATGAGCACTGTCAACACAAAAAAGGCAGTTGCCTGTCACTCTGCCACACCTATTTAAGGACTTGGCTACATAAATTCTTTTCACTCTCTTTGACTCCACCATTAACATTTTTCTTTTAAAGTCCAGGTATGCATTTAAGACAAAGAATTAATTGAAAAAATCTTAAGGATTGGCCTTTTCCCCATGACTTATATCTGTGCCTGCTTTGGCCTTGAGGTTTACAACTCCCACATTAACATGAACCCCAAGGACCTTCTCAATGCAAAGCAAAAGAAGAGAAAGACACAAAACTTAACCCAATTTGAAAATGGGATATAGGAATAAACTGGCTGAGAAAGACTTAAAGAAATGTTTGACATTCTTAGCCCTCAGAGAAATGCAAACCAAGACTAATTTGAGATCTTACACCTCTCAGAATGGCAAAGCCAAAATGAATGACAGCTCATGGAGAAGGAGAACATTTACTCACTGCTGGGAATGCAAGCTTGTACTGCCATTGTAAACCTGTGTGGCAACTCCTCAGGAAGCTGGGAACAGATCTGCCTCGAGATCAGCCATACCACTCTTGGACATATACCCAAAGGACTCTACATCCTATTACAGAGACACTTGCTCATCCATATTCATTGCTGCTGTATTCATAATGGCCAGAAATTGGAAATAGCCTACATGTCTAACTGATGAATGCTAATGAAAATGTGGTATATTTACAGGATGGGAAATTACTCAGCTAAGAATAAGGGAATTATGGAATTTTAGGTAAATGGAGCTAGAAAATGTCATCCTGATGACCCAGATTCAAAAAGACAAAATGTTGTATGCTCGCTCTTATGTGTGGATGTTAGTTTTTTTAACGCTTTAGATGTGTGTGTTTCAATCCAAATAACTACAGAGGTTAGGTACCTAGTAAGGGACCCCACTGGAAGGGAAAATAAGAGTATAGTGTTATATAAGGGTAAAAGGGAAGCTAGAATAGGAGGGGAATAGAAAGGAGGGTAAAGGAAGGAATATGGGAAGGGACAACTAACATCAAAGCCCATTTGAAAAACCAAATGGAAACCTACTACTATACAAGCTTTCATATATGTATATATATACATATATGAAAGGAATCTAAACAGAGTCATCAAATAGGGAGACATTACTGAAACCAAACATCTTATGCCACCAAGTGAAATCTCCAGTGATAGAATCGGCTACATCTTTTTTAGTCTGTTGGCCAAAGGTGTCCCATGGAACTCCCAAATATCACAGGCTATTGATTACTTTCCACAACTTGATAGTAAGTCCCTATTGCTGAAGAAAACACTATGTCATCAAACACAGAGAAGTTAAAAGCTTCATGATTGGCTAGTGTTCAAGGTACTGGAGGGCACTCTGAATGCTACTGGAGGAGAAAAGTAGTCATCATCACTCAGCTACAAACCGAGATCTACAATGGCAACCTGATGTATACATCCTATGACTATTATTTCACTAAAAGAACAAGCAATAAGATGACCCCTGATGACATATCCTGAATGATGTAATCCATAGAGTCACATATAGCGGTACATGTATATAATGCTATACCCATAGAGCAGTGCCTCATTATACATACACATGTGTGTATTCATATGTAAATACTGTTACACACATAGAGCAGCACCTCATTATATATATAAAATCATATGTATATACTGGTATACCCATAGAGCAGTGCCTCATATATATAAACCCTATGCATATACTATTATACCCATAGAGCAGCACCTCACTCAACCTATCAGAGAAGCTTCTTCTTGCTGCAGATGGGAATTAACCCCAGAGACCCACAACTGGACAATGGGTGGACAGCAAGAGACTTTGGAACACTCAGCCCTAAAGGGGATGGATGTCTTCATCAAATCCTTTACTTCAGGGCTCAGGGAGCTATGCAGAACAGTAGGTGGAAAGACTTTAAGAGTCAGAGTTGACAGATGACTCCAAGGAAACTGTCTTTCAGATCCAATATGACTGATACACAGATGAAGTCACAGAGACTGTAGCATTAGGCACAAAACCTGTACAGGTTGAAACCAGATGGGATCCCACTACTGAGAGGCGGAAGTAGACATCAGGTCTCACTGCCAGCCAAGAAGCTGTTTGCAAGTGATACCCGGTGTCAAAGAAAAAAATCAATTTTCTCTAAAGGAGTGTCCCTGGGTATATTAACCACACTCTAGAGCAGGCCATGTGCCCAGAGGTAGATGGCCTACAGAAAACAAACTCAATGGTGGTTGTGCTTTGTTTTGGCACTTTTTGTCTCACTGGTCTTTTGCTTGTTTTGATTTTTGTTTTTGTGAGAAATTTCATTCTTTTTTGTTGTGTTTTTGTTTCTTATTTTTTATTATTATGTTTGAAAGAGAGAGTGAGAAAGAACAAAGTTAGCAAGGTAGGGAGGTGGGAAGGATCTGGGAGAAACTGGGAAAGGACATAATCAAGATATATTATAGGAAAAATACAATTAAAAAGTCATCCACTGGACATGTAGGAAATGATTCATAATGCAAGAACACAGAAGACAAGGTCAACCCTGGAAGACTGCACAGTGACCTGTAAGGAGTGATAACAGCTGGTCCATGTGAGACAGAACTGGTCAGGCCAGGAACCAGTTGGACAGAAAACCCTTCTCTGACATCCTGTACCTCCTGACTTACATGTGACTACAAACACTTTGAATTCTGAAATTACCACAGAAATGCTTGTCAGTTTGAGTTAGAATCAAGGTCTAGATCAGTGGTTCTTAACCCCTGGGGGCATCAGAAGACCCTTTCACAGAGATTGCCTAAGACCATCAGAAACATCAGGTACTTACATTACAATTCATAACAGTAGCAAGATTATAACTATGAAGTAGCAAAGAAAATAATGACTGGGGTCACAACATGAGGAACTGTATTTAAGGCTTGAGAACCAGCAGCATTAGGAAGGTTGAGAACCACTGGTCTAGATTATAAAGATTTTTACTGCAAAACAACAACAAAAAACCAAACCTGGAGAGAAAGAATGCCTTAGAGGAGAAAGATAAGTGACCAGAAGTAAGCTATCATCTGACTGAACCATGTAGCCTACATTTTACTGTAAGCACAGAAGCCAAAGTATAGAACTACTTTTCTAAATAAAGTTGTACTTGGATATAATTAGTCAAATGTAATTAATATTTAAACTCAATCTGTAGATAGCCTTCCTTTTAAATTGACATGTACTAACTTCATTGATTTTTTTTCCACATAGATTTTGGATTCAGTTACAAGAATTCATACTGATAACATGGTACATATTTAATTTCTAAAAGTACATATGCTCCCAAACAACATTCCCTTCCTCCAAATACTGGATTTCCTGAAATATGAAATTAATTGCAAAATCTGAATTAAAGAAAATGCATCCTGTGTTAACAGACCAATTTCCTTGTGTTGGTAATTGCTAACAATGGCTGTAGGTCTGTTACAAGGTTACAGGTCATCTGGCACATGATTCTGCAGATTTTGGTTTTACTTTAAAGAAGAATCAGTATTTTCATAGTGAAGAAAAGTCAAATGGCATTAAAAATGGTAAAACACAAAATGAGCATGACATTTTGACTGCAAAGACTTGAAAGGATGTTATGACAACACCCTGAGCTGTCCTCCACATTCCTCAGAGTAGGAGCACACTACTTTCACCCACAGGCAAAGAGAGCATGAAGGAGATCACCTCACAGCTGCTTCTGAGGACCACTCCGCAGAAGAGCATCTGTAAGCAGGTGCTGAATATGTACACGGAGCTAGCACTGGTCCCTTTCTTATCTGCTCTGTATAATGAGGCACAGTCTTGTAGGGAAGGGTACAGTCTTGAAGTCAGAAGCACCTGGGGAAACTAGTTTAAAAACACATGGAAATGTAGCCAGCCAGAGCGCCCCAATTTTATAAAAGTGAGTATGTGCAGCCCAAGCTCCTGACTGTGTCTGTTTCTGAGGAGGTCAGAACAAGGTGGCTTTAATGGCCATCTCTCCTGCTTGCTACTTCTTCCCCTGAACCCTTTGAAGGTGCTCTGCCCCAAAGGAGAACTGACATCATATTCCCTGGCTTTCAGAACATTTCCTAAATGACCATTGCTGAATCTGATTCCAGGACTCGGGTGCTGGTTCCTGGTCCCTGCTGCCATAGGTGCATTACAGAAGCTGCCTATCTTCAAATATGTGAGCCCACCTGCATCCTGACCTAGTGGCTTTCCATGGCCTTACTTTCTGAAGAACTAATCCTTTTGTCTTGTCCACTTAACACAGCCTTCTCCCTACATTTTGAAGATCTTTACAATGAAGCACATACTATTTCACTGCACACTAGTGGCAAGAACACCAGGGAGGCTTGCTGGGTACAGCTGAGCCAGGCTGAACTGCTGACTCAGGTCGCATTCCTCCCTTGCTGATTAAGATCTGATCTATCTTCAGAGGGAAGTCCATCTATTTTCAGCTTCTTATAGCCATTGATTAAAAATAATTTATAGTCCATAGCTTGGGGATGAGCTTACAGCATGTCCATAGAGTGCATAACCTACATGAGAACAACTTCTGAAGAGAATGCAGGAAACTACATTCAAGAGTCAAGAAGACACAAAACACGAGACCCGACACACAGGATTGGCTGATGTGGTGCTGAAATTCCACATATAAGTTGTACTGACCAAGTTCCATTGCTGAAAACCCAGTTCACTTGCTTAAAATAAATTTCCACAAAGATTACAGAAAGTTACTGCATTACTACCATGGCCTCCATGTAGGTCAGTGACCCCATAGGGAAGAGCCAAGTTCCAGCTCCACAGACACCTTGGTTTTTGGGATGTGTCAGCCACCAATGGCCTAGGCATGGACCTAGGCCAAAGCTTACTGACAGTGTGATGTGGGTCATGTTTCTCTTACTAGCTGGCTGAAAACTAGTTGGCTACATAGGGAGTTAAAGGCCAGCTTGGCTTCTTCCTCATGATGCCTGTATTGAACTGTGAGCTCAAATCAATCTTGTCCGCCTTGAGTTACTTTGTTAGGGTTATTTTACCACAGCAGCTACAAATAACTAAGTTATAAGTAATGAAAACCAGGACTTCGCACAATTTATCTATTTGTATTATAGACAGGATATTTAAAAAGAGCAAGCACCCAAACAAACAAAAAAACATCACAGCAAAAGAGGGAACACCCACACCTAAGAGCTGCATTATACTAAGCCAGGCACAGAAACCAAGAGAAACAATGTGAAGTGTCTGTGATAGTATGCTACCCTGCATGGAACACAAGAAAGCCACCACAGCACAGCCCCAATGCTTGGGGAGCCAACTCTGCTGACTTGGAGCCTGGAGTCTAAGGTCACCCACAGACCTTGACTTCTGGGAGCTGCATAACTTCAGGAAAGACTTCGATGCAGTTGGAGTGAGCAATCACTGTGTGCATGCGCCTGCAATTCATGATCGTTGTCGGGATGGCTTTCAGTTTGTTCCCACTGACATCAATTTCTTCAAGTTCCTCCAGTTTTGCCATTTTACTAAAAGAAATGGATGGGAGAATCATCAATTAACCATAAGACAGCTTTAATGGGCAGACACAATGAGAAAAAGAACTTATAACTTTAAAGATTTACTTACAATAATCATTTTTATAGATGTTTTTCACTGTTGCTTTTGAGTAGCAAAATGTTTTAGCATTTCTTTTCCTCTTATAGAACAAAAACTTAAGTTCAACCCTTAAGCTGATAACAAGAAGGAAAATGAAGGGTCTTACCCTCTTAAAATTTTTTTTGCTATGTAGCTTAGTCTGAATTCCAGTGGATATTGCACTTAAAATTAAAAAAGCAAACATTAATCTCTGTAACTGCTTTGAGCTTAGGTTAAGAGTATGACTTCTTTGTGTTGGAGATGAATACTTAAGAGGATGCAGAGAACACTACAAAGCTACTTTTAGGTACACTTCTGTACTCAGACCCAGCACCCAAACCTGTCTGGCACTATTGGCAATTACAAAGTGCTGGAGCAGGGTAGATCGAAAGCTATACAATTCATTTCTTCTGAAGAACTCTAATTCAATATGGCTGCAAAAGAAACTACTTTTAGTCTTTATCATCTGTGTAGATGGATCGTCTTAACCTTACTTTAGTAACATATTTTAATGTAATTTAGCATTTTATTTAAAAATATTTATTTTTCAACATCTGTAACTTTAATAATTAAAGTAAGCAACAAGGGGACAATTTAAGAAGCAGAGTTTCATGGTTCCTCTGCCAGCTTGGAGGACAGAGCAAGTTCTTTACCATGACAGCATCTGCTCCTTAGATCCTTTCCCACCCTGGTGATAAGTGACCAAGGACTGTGAGAATCCTTATGAGTTTGAAGTTCCTGGAATTTTTTCTACTCATGATTCTACTTGTTAAAAAAAAATTCATCAAGAAACACTATTGCTTTCTTGTCTTGATATAAACACATGCCTCAGATATAACAATAACTAAGTTTTCTTATCAAATCATTTATTTTGATATCATATAACACATCCACCAGGCTATATGGTTATGCTACAAAAAACAATATAGAGTATGAAGTAGTTAATTTATGATAGCTGGAATTCATATATTATTTTAATATGTTGTCCTTTACATTTGAAAAGATATGTGAAGAAATCAATGGGTACTGAAACAAGAAAAATGATGAAAGGTGTGGAAATTAGGCCCAAGGAAGGAAAAGTTTTCCGGTCTCAACACAGAAAGAAGGTGGCTCGGCAATGGCTTGATTGCTGGAATATGCTCTCAACCATCTGGTTAGAGGTCTACTCTAAAGGAGACAGAAGTTTCTACAGGAGACACTATATATCACAACCCTATGGAGGGAAATCGTAGCAAGATTATATTTTACCAAGTACATAAAAATCTTTTGTATACTTCAGGTTGGTGATTGACACCTGGCATGGGCAAATGGGGGCATAGTCTTAGAGTCAATGATCACTTTTCATACAGAATTTACACAGATACCATCAAAAATTGGACAAGAGAAGCCCCTTTAGGCACATTACTATGTAGTAACTGTGCCCCCTCCCAAAACATTGTCATTGCATTCTCTGTAAAGTATGAATACACAGAAGTAACAGCTTATCCATCAACATCAAATGAGGGGAAATAGGAAAGAAACCTATATTACCAAAACCAAAGCAATGCCTGAAGTCAACACATACATGGACCCCCTCCTTCTGAAAAAGTTTCAACAGACTTGGAAATCATTCTGGGCAGCAGAAGGAATATTGTTTTGATCTGTACTGTATAGATCTGCACTGACCAGCAGAACACCAGAAGGCTGGTGCTGTGTTTGCTTCTTTGATGTGTAGGTGTGTGTTCCTAACTTGTAAGAAAAATGTCAGGGAAATGGATAGAGTAAATTCTCTTGGCAAGCTCAGTGTATTGGGTTCTGCGAAGTTAGACAGTATGCCACTGCTCCCCCAAACACAGAGTTTTAAAATACTGGACCTTCTTAGAGCCATTCTGTACAATTATTTCTGTACAAGTCATTTCTATGTCTGTAGTGTCACTACTATGTTTCTGTCTTTTTGTTTTTCTTTCTTCTCTCTCTTCTCCTTTTTTGTGGTGCTAAAGACAGAACCCTGGGCATTCTGCAGTACTATACCATCTCTGTTTTTAACTTTTTTTTTTTTTTTTTGCATATGGTATATATACATGTGGTAGTGAGTGGAGGTCAAGTTAGATGTTTTCCTCTACCTCTCCCCACTGTAGCTTTTGAGATAGTCATTTGGATGGTGCTCTACTATGAAGAAAACAAAACATGGTGAGGACTTCTCATTTTAACATGGAGCGTACCAATTGGCTAGGCTGTTGAGCCAGTGAGCGGGATCTGCCTGCTCATCTTCCAGAGCTGGGGTTACAGCACATGTTAGCATGCATGCTTTTCTGTGAGCACTGGGGATTGAAACTGGGGTTCTCATGCTTGTGCTGCAAGCACTTTACCCAGGGGTTCATCCCCTCAAACCCAGAGTGAATAAAAATGGCTTCCTGGTTTACATGCCAACATTTTCCCCAGAAAAATGAACAAATAATTTAATTGAAGGTTGTATTCACTAAGTATTCAAAAAGTCATAATAAATTAAAAGCTATAAATGCATTGTTTAATTAAATATATTAAAATGAATAGGTATAGTTCAAGATAATCTCAAACTTGCTATCACTAAATTGCTACAACAGGGGAGTTTGCATTAAGTACTAAATATGAACCAGATCCTATAACACACATTTTAAAAATTTTACTGTTTATGTGCATGTGTCTGTGTAAGTGCACACACATGTAGGTACTTGAATAGGACAGAAGAGGGTGCACACACATGTAGGTACTTGAATAGGACAGAAGAGGGTATTAGACTCCTAGAACTAGAGGTACAGATGGTTGTTCTGGACTTGGGGCACTGGGAATGAAACTTGGGTCTTTTGAAAGAAGCAAGCAATCCTAACTACTGAGTCACCCATCTCTCTCTCCTCCCCCACGCCCGTTTCTGTGTGTATAATATTTTTAGTCACAAAAGCCTGTTTAAATAGCAAAAATCAATAAAGGAAAGCTTTCCTCTATCACTCTAGAGAAATATATTTTTAGAAGTACTGATTACATTGTCCATCAGAATAATATTATGTGCTAAGATTTGATTGCCAACTTTTTAAAAAGTAATTTATTAATTTATATTTATTTTATAGGTATGAGCATTTTGCCTGCATTTCTATGTATGTACCACATGGATTGTGCCTGTAGAGGTCAGAAGAGGGTGCTGGATCCTCTGGGACTGGAGTTATGGATAGTTGTGACCCATCATGTGGGTGCTGAAAACCCAAATCCAGGTCCTCTGCAAGAGCAAAGGTGTCATCTTTCCAGCCCCCCATAGTCCAACTCTTAAAACATTACTGCTTTTTGTTTTGCAAATTAAACTGAGTAGCTAAAGAGAAGCAAAAGGAAAAAAGCCCACTAAAAACATATCTTATTTGAAAATCTTAAGAATATTTTAGTGGTTTGGTTTTGGAAATATTCACATTAGAAAAACCAGCACAGTTGTTCTAAGGGAATGCTTGTTGGTTTCAGCTTCATAAAAGGTAACTATAGATGAGGGAAGAAGAGCAAACATACTCACATTACTTTGAACTACAGCTTCCTCTGTGACTTCTCCCCGTCTGAACACATATATAAGAACATCACGTTACAACCCTGTTACCTTGCTGGGAAGCTCTGAAGCCGGTTGTAGGCCATGTGCAGGATCTTCAGACGCGGGTGCCCTGTTAACAAGGGCACACACTTATCGGTGAGGCTGTTGTTTGTCAGGTACAACTCCTGTAAGATACTGCTTGTCTCCTCAGAAAGTGTGGCTGGAGGCAGAGTTTCCAGTTTGTTTGCAGATGCGTTCAGGAATCTCAGGCTACAGAGACAAAATGCAGCAAAGCCCACTGATAAGCCAGAGCTCTAGTTCAGATCCCTCAGAAAATCCATAAGCTACATGAACAGGCAAAGGTGGGAGAGCTAGGTTTAGAAACAGGAACAAAAAGACAGGTCCTGGCTTCAGGGAATTCAATTCAGCAGGCACAGAGAGAAGTCTTGCCACAATCAGGTTCCAAAAAATGCAAACAGAAAGGAAAGACAAGGTGGGAACAAAATGTGCCATAGCTCTGTTCTCACAAGTAGCCTTTCAAAAGACATCAGGCTATGCAGGTGCAACAACCAGGCATGGTCTGCTCAGTGCACAGGGTCACCCACCCAAGTTTGTGGACATCTCCACCTGCCCACCATGAGGATCTGCCATAAGGAAATGCACCATTCTCATGGTGCAAAACATCTTGGTTTAACAACTGTCAGCATGCAGAGAAGGGTCCAGTCAGCCCTAAATAAGACATACAAATCACACTCCTTCCTCCAGGCTCAGGGATTATAAAGAAAGAGGGAACAGAAAGACTGTAAGAGATAGGGGTGGTGGCTGTCTATAAGGAAACTATGTTTTCCAGACATAATAGGGCAGGTAAACATTTGAACTCACAGCAGTTGTGACAGCACCCATAAGGCCTTTGCAAGCTCAAGGCAGGGAGAAAAAAAAAATCCCAGCATGGAGGGGACAGGTGGACATAAAGTCCCACTCCTAGGCGAGGAGCTACTGGCACTTGATAGCTATTCAGAGAGCGACAGTTTTCTTTCACATTGTGGTTTTTGGTTAGCTAACCATACTCCAGGGCACGCCCCAAACCCAAGAATATCTCAGAAACACAAATCAGAATCCTTGGGCAAAAGGGGGTAGAATATGAGAACAAGAACACAAAGTTGGATGGGATGGGAGGTGACAGTTGATCTAGGAGAAGTTGGAGAAGGCGGGATGAATATGATCAAAACACACTGCATCAAATTCTCAAAGAATTAGTAAAAATATTACTAAAAATTCAACTTGGCTTAAACATTCAATGTAAGTTCTGGGATGTTCTAGCATATGCTTAAAGGAGAATATGGAATATTGAATAGTTATTTTTTATCTTAGATTTTTTTAAAGGCTTTATATTAGAAGCCCTCCCAAGTACTGTCACTCAAAGCTCTCATACTAATTTAACACTCCAGTTCTGCACACATACCCCACACTTAGACACACACCCAACTCCACTACTTATCTGAGAAAAACAACTTCCCCAAAATAGAATATTTTCCATTAAAGAAACATGTATTCTGTTGACATTTAAAGAACGGGGTAGGGGGTAGATGAGGGTTGAAATAGGCTTTAGAGACCATAAATAGTCATGGGAAATTATAGCTATTTGGTACGGCATAGAAAATAAAGGGTCATTCATGCAGTTTTCAACCTGGTCTTAAGTAGGAAGAAAATCTGTTTCATCACCAGAATCCTGTCTTTTTTAGTTCCCATTTCTACAACCTGACTTAAATATACCAGTTAAGAACTTCCTCTGTGTAGAATTAGAATAAATTAAAATGTAAGAATTGCAATTTTATTGCCCTTAAAATATCATGGAGTAGGGTCAACTGGGAAACCATGTGACAACTATTAAAATACAAGTCTCTAGGAAATGTGCAGTTAAAGACACATAAAAGACTGAAGGGAGAATGAATTCGTGAATATTTGCATAGCTTTTGGCCAGAAAAGGAGAAAATGTTGTTTTTAAAACACTGACACATCAATGCTCATCTAGAAAGCTCAAATGGGATTTTAAAGGCTCTCAGCATCTGAACAAGAGAAAGAAAATTATTTCCAAGGGCTTCTCATCGGCTTGAAATTGCCAGCTTTTATGGAACTCTCCGCTCTCTACAGAAAAGTAAGATTGGGGAAACCTTGTATCACATTCCTCCAAGAAATGAAGCTAAGTTACCTGGAATTAGGGGGTTAGCTCCAAAGGATGGTTTTGAACCATATGAAGAACAACTGTGCTATCGCCAAACATTGATTTACTCAATTTTTATTTTATCATGTTCACAGGAAAATTACATGCAATAGCTCTTCTCTTAAAATAGTCTTTCTTCAATTTGAATTGATTTAATGGTCCAGGTGTCATCCTTCTTCCACAAGGAACAACTACTTTCAATGTACAAAATCAAAATCCTCCAGTGTAGAGAGCAGTTGACTTAATGACAAGCTGCATGGCCCACTCCCTGTCTTCAACCTGAAGGATAAGCTATGCGCCTCAAGCCACTATGATTGGGTAACTATTCTTAAGCTTCCAACTTTCCAATTTCTGTAATATCAGCATAAAAAAAATTAAAAAGGCAAAGAAAGTTCAATGTGCTAAGAGATGTTTCAGCCATGGGGTCTCCTCATGACATAATCATCTAATTGAAAAAGCAATACAATGCTACCAGTGTTTTCATTTATCTGGTGCTTTATAGTAAGCACGCTATACTCCTATTTTCCATCTCCCTAGATGATCTCATTATCCTAGATATCCCTCATATTTCACAGAAGACAGAAACCAAAGCTGAGAAAGTTGAATAAACTTGGCAATGGTCAAAGAGTGATGAGTGGCAGTAACAAAAGTCTCATCAATCTTAATAGCCCATTATTCCTAACAGAGCTCTCCAAATTTCAGATGTTAAAAATAGTAATAAAAACCTTTTCCAAAGACCATTTTCATGGGCTCCTTTCTCTAAAACTGTTGGCGTCTAGAGGACCTACTGAAGAGCCCGTGTGCATGCACTTCAAACTCAATTCTCATAATCAATAGCTCTGAACAAAAGCAAAGGGCACAGATGTGGTTCCTGCCCAAGAGTACTTGGGAAGCCACAGGAGAAAGCCACTTCCTGCCTCTAGAGATAACTGCTCCATTCCTCTGTCTTGACACACTGTCTGCCTGGTTCTGGGTTGTCTTGTTTCGTTTGATCTTCAGAAGCTCTCATATACCCTAAAATTCTACAGACATCCTGTCTCTAGAGGAGCTCGGGTTTGGTAACAGACTTACCTTGGTCCTTATATCTTAGCACAGAAATAGAAAGTAATTAAGACAAGAATGTTACTCTACATTCCTTGTTCATCATCCCAAGAATAAGGTTATGTAGAATGCTACTACTTTTGGGTGGCTCCATGGTTCATCAGTAGAGTAAGGCTGTGTAGAACGGTACTCCATACAGATTGCTCCATAGCTTATTGTCACTAGAGTAAGCTGTGTAGAAGAGTGATTGCTCCATGGCTTATCATCATTAGGGTAAGCTGTGTTGAATGGTACTCCATACGGATCATTCCATATTATCATCACTAGGGTTAGCTGTGTGGAACGGTACTGCATATGGATTGTTCCACAGCACATCATCTCTAGGGTAAGCTGTATAGAATGGTTTTCCTCTATGGTTTATCATTACGAGACTAAGGTTGTGTATTTTTGGCAGAGAACAGAAGTTATACCATTCTCAGCATACCATGAGGAACACAGGACAAATGTCTTAACTACTGTCAACATTAACTCAGATTACTTGGTAGTACCAATTATAACCTCTAACCTTCCATTTTACCCACTTTGTAGCTAATAAATTTGTGGGGAGATAAGAATGTCAATATCCCATTTATCATCATACTTTTCCTTTCAATTTTGTTTATTTATCCATTCTTCTGTTTTCTGTCCTGTGCATATAGAATTAGAATGCTACTTGCAGGCATTGGTTCTCTCCTCTTACTATTTGGGTCCTAGTTACCAACTCAGGTCATCAACCTTGGTGGCAAGTGCTTTACCAGCTGAGCCATCTGGCTGACTCTTGATCATTACCTTGTGCTTTTAACATTTGCTTTTCAATGTTAACCAAAACCTGTAGGACTTCTTTTACTTATAGTTTGTGATTTGGAATTGAACTGTAAGGAAAATTCCTATATATTTATTTACCCAATTTTTTTACTTTATGCTAATAATAATTTCCAGGAAATTTAACAATTTTATTCTCCTGGGAATAATTCATTACTCTCATTTGGTATTTATTCCTAAAGCGGTTCCAGATACACATGTCTTCTGACATACTTTTGAGTTCACCTTGTGTTTAGCCAGCTCTAGTGCTGGAATCAATCCTGGTTTACTTCTGGAAATTTTAGAATGTTGTGATATTTTCTTCATATAACATTGGAACATCTCTTAAGTTTATTCTAAGCATCCAATCTTTCTTGTTATTGTTTTAAATGGGAGCTTAAATCAACATACTGACTCACACTGGCTATTGCTTGTACATAAGAAGCCTCTTGCTATGGTTTTCATATCCTGCTAATCTACCTGACTGACATGTTTGAGTTATTTATTGCCAACTCTAGAGTTTTCAGGTATGCTAATCTCTCTTCTCTTTCCTCCCTCCCTCCCTCTCTCTCTACCCCCCCCCCATGTTGGTCTTGGGTCTTATATTGCATACACACACATTTTTCTTATACAGAATTTTAGAGGAAAGTGTTTCCCCCCAAAAAAAACCAGTTACCTTGTGCTTACACATTGTTACTAAATTATTCCCCATTCCTACCCTGGTGTGTGTGTGTGTGTGTGTGTGTGTGTGTGTAAGCGTGCACACATATGAAAGCAAGAGGTCAATGCTGAACTAGTGTCTTCCTCAATCACTCTCCACCTGAACTTTTGAGACAGGGTCTCTCACTGAACCAAGGGCTCACTAAAGCTCACTAATACAGCCACATTATTTATCTTGAAACCCATAGGAATCTTCCTGTCTGCCTCCCAGCAGGTGGGCTACAGACATGAGCCACAGCTCCTGACTTTCTACCTGTGGGTGACCTGCAGATCTTCATGCTGTGGCAAACACTTAACAACTGGGCCATTTTCCCAGGTTGCCCCTTCCGATTTTTATATGACCATTTGTTATCTGATATTTCAGTTTTCTACTCTAAGATCTTCAGTGTGCTGCCAGAAAATATTCTTTGGATTACAATTCTAAACATCAGTTCTGTTCAATGGTTTG